GCGGTGCCTTAAGCACTGATCCAGTCCACTAAAAGTTGGCCTGAAACATTGCCCACAATCTGAGCATTGGGCCTGGGAAAAGCAGTTCTGGATTGCTCTGTTCTGATCCAGTGTACGACCGTGCAGGGCTGGCTCATCAGGTTCTCCTGTTCCACCGGCCATCACAGCACCTCTTATCTCAGCCGTCGATGCCACGCTCACTTGATGTCTCAGTTCCGGAGCAGAGACGCTCCAGCTGCTATCTGGGAAGGCTCTGGCCCCAAAAATATTTAGTTAGCAACCATTCAGTTAAGTGGAATTGACTTTTTATCGGCTTCCCTCTGTACGTCTGCCACCAGCGAAGGCTGTTTCCTCCTTCCCTCTTCTCGGCCTGTCAGTGCACTCCGCATTCCTATCGGCAGCCGTTAGCTCTGATCAATACTAACCACTGTGTAACAGCTCACGCATGGCTGCCTTGGTTTGCATCGATCAGCCCCTTCCAACAGGTACCCAGCTATTTGAGGCAGTGACTTGAGATAAACACCTACTTTTACTTCAGGCTCATTCATTCTGGGTGTTTCAAGGAGACCCAGTGCCCTTCTCCAGAGATTTGCTGAGAGCAGACTCACAGCAACTTCTCTCCTGCTCAAGATGATCTGTGACCCATCCCACCCCTTCTGACACCCAGACTATACCTTACAAGCACTTCAGAAGCACCTAACCTGGGAATGACACCTTGGATTGCTTGCGTTACGAGAAATCAGTGGTTTTGTCAATAAGAATATGTGCACTGATAAGCCACGGAGTGGGGATGACCAGCTGGGCATTTGTGACTGTCCCACCACAGCTCCTCACTGGGGGACCTCCTCTGTCGCAGTTGGGGGTCTGGGGACTGTGTCCCCATAAGCCCTGTGGGAATGCAGCATCCCTGACCTTCAGCAGAAACAGCCCTGAGCTGGCACTGGGCACCGTCTGCAGCTCCTGCGGGGCTGGTCAGGCCATGGGCACCTGCAGGAGAAGGCTCATTGTGCCAGGGGTACTGCTGAGAAACTTTTCATACAGCAGCATCCTCACATATCAGAGTCTTTTGCTGAATCATAAAGTACCTGGTTTTCAGGATGGCACCTTCAGGACATCTGTGCTGTTCAGGTGCCCTAACAGAACAGAAGAGAACGGACTATGAACATCGCCAGGAGGAATCTCTGCAAAACTGAATGGCCAGCAGCAATGTGCTGGCAGTCATACTTCTTACTTGCTGCTGTCCCCAAATCTGCCAGCATTTAGGGAACTAGGAATTAACAGATGTCAGAGAGCACACAGATGTACTCCCCGCAGGCTCCTGCCCCAGACCCCACTCACAGCGCTGGTCCTTGGGCTGCAAGAGGGCAGAGGGTCACACAGAGACACAAGCGCCTCTGCCAGAAGTGCAGCCCCAGCTCCAGCTCGACAGGAAAATGCCAATGGATCAGACCTGTCCAGCCTGGAAAGCCTCTGGAAAGGTTACAGAGGCCTTTCCTGGTTGGTTTGTAGCTGTGCTGTTACAGAAGGGCCACAGGGCTGCCACAGCAGCTACAAACTTCCCAGTGAAATGAGTGTTTATTATTATAGGTTTGATGCCATTCCCAAAAGGCCCTAATCAACAAGTAATAAGGCCTCGAGAGAGCAATTAGAAACCTGAACTTTAACTCCCTTATAACCACGGTGCAGGAAGCGACTTCTGCTCTGGTTTGGGGCTTGCAGCCTGGTATGTGAGCAAGGGGGAAGTATCAAAAACCTGAAATCCAGAATAACTTCAGCCAAGTATTTGAACAATGAGGTACAAGGTCCATTTCTGTGGCAGGTAAGTATGTGCCTGGCAAAAAGCATAATGGTTTGGGAGGAATCTGTGCCCAAAAATGCAGTATTTGTCACATCTGTGTGTTTTCAATGCTTTTTCCCAGCTTTAGGCAAGCACTGAGGGTATTCAGTGCCTGTACACATGCAGCATCTGCCCCCCTTAAAGAAAAAAAAATCACCTCAGTTTTCCCGCTTGTGAAATAACAATATCTGCCTGAAGGCAACACCAGCCCTTGAGATGTGGGTTTGCTCAGAACTTGTTTTGAATACTTCGGACGGGCCACTTCAGACAGGAACTGCACATTGAGTAATTCTTGCCATAGAAAGTCACGTGGCTACTGGAAAGCAAAAAAATTGCATAAGAGCCTGTCCGCGAAACGCGGCTGTGTCAGGGAGTGTTGGCCAAGAGGGCTCGTGCTCCGCCGGCCTTCCTGGAGCAGGGAGGGAGCATTTGACTTCCCACGGAGCTGTGGCAGCGCCGGCGCACACCCACGGCCAGGATCCTCCTGGTCCTTCAGACTTAGGAGGGGCATTCCTCAAAAGTGTTACTTTTCTTTTTTTTCTTCCCTAAATACCAAATATTTGAAGTCCATGCTCCAGTTCCCTGAGGAAGTTACATCAGATCAGCAGGCACTGGCAGCAGGCACTTGGCTGGCATGGCCATGACTGCAGTTCCCTGGGGCTACACACGGCTCTTGCACCCACAGGTATGGCCTGGTGAGGTGAGGTCTTTCCCTCTGTTAGAGTTGGAGCCACACACTTTCCACTCAGACTTCCAACTGGGAGTGCTGGTGGTGCCACCACGGTCCTGTCCTGAGCCCGGGATGGGAGGAGGAAGGGCTACGTCACTGCCAGCTGTGATGCCTGTAAGGAGAGCAGAGCAGAGCAAGGCAGGCCCAGGAGCCTGAAGATCGAGGTTAACTTAAGATATCCCTGCCTTAAGAAATTTCGGGTCTCAAAAGCTTCATTTGATGTATAACTGGAGCCAGCAGAGGGAGTGAAATGCAGGGACACCGTAGTGTCCATGGAAAAAGGAGCTGCTGGGCTTTGATCCAGGTGCAGCTGGATCAAACAACACATCTCAGAACCCAAAGTGTGGGTGCACCAGCTCAGCCCCGGGCCACAGGTAACACTGATATGGATTAACAAAGGCAGGTTATCACTTGTAGGAGTGAGGGGTTGTCTCCTGCATCATTACCAATGGAAAAATAAATGGTCTTGGGGCTAACACTGTATGTTTCCAGTATGAAGAAAGTATCCAGAGGAACCTCAACCTCTCCAATAATTCCTGTTCTGAGAGGGTCTGAGTGCTGTCCCCTTGAGCAGGTTCAAACACTTAATGTTTGGTTGTTCTGACACTGCTCACGTGGTCCTGAGAGAGGCCATGTAAAGTCCTAAGGAGAAGCCTAAAACCAAGAGTACTGGTGTTGTTCCCTTGTTCTCTTGTGCCTCCAAAATGTCCTGGTCTTGGCATTATCTTGAGCACTAAATGTGACAGACACGTTCACAAACAGTTTTTTGCTGGTTTCTTAGTTAATTTCTTCAAAAATAGCAATTTTGCAGGTGGATTAGTTATTCAGCATCCATTTAGGGTTTTTTTTAGACTCATCTTTAATGTGTCTTCACAGACACAGATAGTTTCCCCTTTTGACTGAGGGGCTGTCTTTGTTCAGCATTTGATTGGAAGAGATAGGAGGTGATCTTTATTAAACTCTTTAGTAACGTATGAGCTTCTTCCTGACTGCCTCTGAAGGAGAACTTAGAAAAGTCTTTGAATCTGTGTGTTTATTTATACACCAGTTTTCAAAGAAATATTTCTTTTAGCAAAATGCAAAATTGTAACAAGTTGGTAACCTTAATAATTGCATTGAATACTGCAGAATTAGCTTAAAATAATTTTTTCCTTCTTGAAATGAGATTATGTTTGTGCCTGGATCAAGCAACTCTGCACCAGTCTTGAACTCCTTAAAGATGGAAATCAGAATAACCACTGCAATATTGAAAAGGTAAAATGAGAACAGAATGGCAACTGGCCAGTGTTTATGAATCACAGAATATGATCATGAAATCACAAGAATAACCACCAAAAGGTAAATAAATTACCCAGCCTACTACTTATTTTCATGTGCAGTTTGACACAAAAGCTGCAGCCATGAATGATTTATACCTGTTTTAACAATAATACTCATTTTCCTGAAAGATGGTCAGCACTCAGGCTGCTGTGGGCACTGTGCCAGTTGTTGAAAGGTTAATGTCTCAGCAGCAATACATTAAATTATGAATTATACCAGTCCCAAAATGGAAGGTTATTAGCTTGGTATGTTTAATTAGCCCGGCTTGAACTTTGCCATCTGCAAGCACTGCCCATCACTAATGCATGGCCACGTGGGATGGGAGGGGTGGGAGCAGGACACCAGCAGCAGGTGACCTTCCCCTGCTGGTCAGCCCAGCTCACCTGTGGAGCTCAGAAGCCCTGAGCAGGGCCCAAGGCTTGTCCACACGCTCAGTTCCGATGGTCTGGCACTTCCTGCTGCACAAAGCACATGGACACACCAGGAGAACACAGCTGGCTTCCTCCCCAGCCCTTGGGGCCAGTTACCTGCCAGAGCACTGCAGTGATGTCTGTAACTTCTCAGGAGATTGCATTCTGGTTACACCCTGGACCCTCCCCTGAGAGGAGAAGGGAGATGGGTGAGGGCCCAGCACGCACCTGAGCCATGGAAGTGCCAGAAATAGAGGTGTTTCTCTGGGGAGGGTCCGTGGTCCTGGCAGCAGTGGAGGGAGGCTCCGGCAGAGCGGCAGCCGCCAGCCAGCGCTCAGGGATGTGGGCAGCAACAGCCGGCCGTGGTTTTATTTGCACAGCATCTCCTGCCAATAACTGCACAAGGCTACAATATTTAGCTTTTCAATAAATATTTAAATTTTGCTTCTTTGCTTATTTATTTTTTTTAAAGAACAAACAGTAAATTCTGTTGATTTTTTATTAGTTAAGATGACATGATGCTTTGGAAACATGATGCACTAAGTATTGCCATAAGTGATTACTCCCCATGACTGCGAGGATGCTCTTGGGGGGCTGTGTCCTAAAATCCGGGTCAGAACCATACCCTGGAAAGTACAAACAAGGGGCAAGAACCAAAGTTGTAAAGGGCCAAACACAGACGTATTTTTAATTCTTTTTGTAGGTAGGATAACTTTGCCCAGGAGGAAAGGAATTTGGACAGACTTAATATCCAGCCTGTGCAGCTTCCATGAGCTGGACTCTGAAATGAAGAGAGAGTTTATTCATTCCCATCCCGACACAGCCCACCAGAATTAAAAGGCATTTTAACCTGCCAGGGAGATTGGGTCAGACACTTCCCAACCTACCTACACAGAGAAGGCCATTTGATTCCTCTGGCTACCAAGTCTCCACGTTTCTGTGTTGGATGTGAAGAGTAAAGAAAGAGTCCGGCCAGAATCAGGAGACATCTAAGCGTAAGAGACAGCACCAGGTAGAGGCTCAATTCCTTTTTCCTGATATTCTTACAATTTGCAGTATATACATTATTTCTTCTTCTCCCCTTGAGCTTTTGCTGATTCCCTCTTCTCCGTGTCAGTAAAACCTCTGTACTTGTACTTCTGGAGCAGGTGGCATGGTTGGAATATCGGAGCAATACGTATTAGAGTGAAACCTACAGACAGAAATAGAAAGCAAATGGAAGATGAATTGATCAGGGGAAAGGCAGAGGATGGAGGGGATAAAGTAAAGACAAAGAGAGACACGAGTAATACCTTGCCTGTGTGCTATGGTAATTTATTATTTTTATATGGTGCCCAGGGTGTACAGTATCTGTTTTACTGAACAAATAGAAAAAAGAGTTCTCAGCCCCAAACAGCCAACATATTAATTTACTGTGTGACAGCCTAACGAAACGAGCAGCCAGGCCAATGTGACAAGGAATAATTTAGTGCTTGTGGAGCATGAGTAACTTTACTATTGGTATCCTTGCATGTGCATGGCATTCAATGGATGTCCCTTGGGTTTGTAATAACTTATTGTGGAAGAAAAGTTTCCCTTTCAGTGGAAATCTGAGTGAGGGGGTGTCTGAGGGCACAGGCCAGGTTTGTACCTGGAGGAGCAAAGAGGCTGCCAGGTCAGTACACTGGGAGGGAAGGAGTGAGGACCTGACCCCCAGCCTGGCATGGGAAGAGCACCACAAAACCCTGACCGGGAGCGTGGGGATGCGTGTGGTGGGCCCAGACATGGGGAGAGCAAAGGAAAGGACTCAGGAGGGAAAGCCGGACTGTTTGCTCTGAGCCACATCAAGCTGGAGTTTCTAAGGAGCCATCCAGCCAGGACAGCAAGGAGATGACCTGAACCAACACGCTCCAATGGGAGAGGTTCCAGTGCAAACCTGCCGTGACCGCGGAACTGGGGGAGCAAGAGCAGAGTTGTTTTCTGACACAGTTATTGCCACTTCAATTGCAATTTTATTCCAAAAGCAAATTCCAAAGTTTTATGTCCATAAAGGTTTAGACATAAACAAGAAAGAAGTCAGGAAAGTGGTATGTACTGTGTAAACACTCCCACTTCATAATTAATGCTGGAGATCGGGGAGCAGGAATGGCTGTGCATGTGTGGTCATTCAGATTTACTGTTGCTCTGATTAAAACCTAGTTGGGCAATAATTTTATGCCCAGGTAGGGGCAGGAGGAGAGCAGGATGCCCCCAAGCAACCCATAAATAGTGTGGTGAAGACAAAGCGTTTATTACTTAGCTTCACAAAGGCTCCATAAGTGCTCTCCCAGGGTACCTATACTCGTACCCCAGATGCCAATTCCGCAAATTAGCATTATTTCTCAAAATCCTGTGTAAACAGAAGTCATTTAAATACTTGATTTTATCAGATGGAGTCACCCATAGAAACACCGGTCTCTTTCTCTCCCTTTTGTGGGGTGAGCGGAGGTTTTCCCTGCCTGGGTTTTCATTTCTCTTGGAATACTTTTACTGATGGCAAAGCCTGGCAGGGTCTGGGATCCATACAGAACACATTCTGCAGGATTCTGTCCCATCTCAGTGCCCCATGCTGGTGCGAAAGCCACTATGGGGCATAAACTTTCCCATTTGTCACTGAAGTGTACTATTTTGAATCTTCTGTTAGCAGTTTAAATTACTATACCAAAAGTGGTTTCATAGCTGAGATGCACAGGGAATTACAGGGATTTGAGATCTTGTCAAAAGAGCATTGGGATGTCCCTTTTTTTTTTGTAATGAGAGATGCCACCAGTGAGTTCAACTCAGGCTTTGCTGATGGACCCTTGTTTTGTCATTGGGCATCCTGCCACTAGCAAAAGACGTTCACATTTTAGACACTCACACAGTTATTTTTTCCTGGTTTTGTATGAGATTTCATGTAGAAACAGGTACCTTAGTTAACAGGGTAACAGTAAAAACAGAGTGAGAAAAACCCATAAAATCACTTTTACATGACAAAATCATTTCCCTAAATTTAATATTGCATATCAAAAGGTGAAAATTTCAGTATTTTCCAGGGTTAAAAGCAAGTGTTGCATTTTAAGGATGCCTATCTCTCATGTTCAGTGACATAAACACATTTAATACTGAATTTTGCAGGATACTGGACTTTACCATCCTTACAGTAGATAAGTTGCCACTGACCAGGAGGACAGCACAAGGAGATGTTGCATTTGCTGGAAGGGAGAAAGTACTTTTCTAGCAGTTAATTTCTTTTTTAATCATAATTGTTTGGACCTGCTGATGTTTTGAATTGTGAGAGTTAATTCCAGAGAAATAGGGAAGGAAGAGAAGGGCAGGTGCCGGTGATCAGTGGGGCACTGTGAAAGGACATGGTTTCATGGTGTTCTGGAAACACACCAGGAGGAATTACACCAACATCCGATCTCACAGTGCACCCCATGTCCCTCTTGGGCTGGTCCTTCGGCACAGACAGTGAGTCTATGGCAGAGCTAGGAACAGAATCCAGGCCCCTGTTCCAACTCCCAGATCCTCAAGAGTATTTTTAGGCACTTAATGCCGTTAATTTTATATTCTTTTTGACCAAGGATCTTAGAAATAAGATCATGCTTCCTCCTGAAATAATTTTTGAAATCCTACTTGTGTGCTCTTGAACAGCTTTTTTCAGGGATTGTGTACAGTTTAGCCCTATTTAGGAATAAATGGGCTTAAAAATTAGTTTTGGGAAGAGTTCTGCATGGACTGTGCTTTTGTGCAGCCTCGAAGTGTGAATAAGGATGGAGAGGGAACGGTGCAGAGTCTTTGTGTTCTGCAGGGCAAATGGTATCTGTCTGTGAGGGGCTTTGGCAGAGGGCAGAGAGGGCTTGGGCAAGCATGTTAAAGCTAATCGAAGAGGTGGAAAAAAATTTCCACACCTACAGGTTTCTCCATACAATCATATTTTTCATTGTGCTAACTCGGCAAACCCAGTTAAGTCCTGCTCCTGCATCCTATCTATTATTAATTAATTGATTTCCTATAAGCTCATTATTTAGTTCTCTGTGAGTCTCTCATAGCGTGCTCAGCTCTGCAGACAGCGGAGCAGTTGCTGTCACAAAGCACCAACACATCAAAAAGGCTGGGTCAGGCAAAGGGGAGGTTGAGACTGGGCATTCAGGAAGTGTTGGACAAAGCTCTCAGGCACGTGGTGGGATTCTTGGGAGTGTCCTGTGCAGGGCCAGGAGTTGCACTTGATATTCCTTGTGGGTCCCTTCATACTCAGGATATTCACAATTCATTGATTAGGAAAAACTTTTTCATTGAATGGGTGGTCAGGCACTGGCACAGGCTGGCTAGGGCAGTGGTGGAGTCACCAGCCCTGGCAGGATTTAACAGACGTGTGAATGTGGCATCTGGGGACATGGGTTAGTGGTGGCCTCAGCAGTGCTGGAAGAACAGCTGGACTCGATCTTAGAGGGCTTTTCCAAACTGAATGACTCTGGTTCTACAGGGTGGGAGAGCAGCTCCCCATGGCACAGCCACTCTTGGGTGAGCAGATGAGGAGAGTGTTTTTCAGTGACTCCTCTGTTGTTGCTACTGCAGGAACGGGTCTAGAGGGGGATTTGGAGGACTGGTCACAGGGGCCACCACCATGGGGGACAGGGACTCTGTGTGGGAGGAGTGCAGTCCCCGCGGGGTGAGCATGGTTAGAAGGGGCTCTCTGTGGTGGTGCTGCAGCGGACACAGGCCTGCTCCAGGTGTTGCGGGGCTCCTCTCCCTTGCTCCGTCCTCTCCCTTGCTCCGTCCGGCTGGGGTGGTAAACGTGCTTATTGCAGCGCTAATGTCCTGCGAGTGGGATCCCACCTCCAGGTATATTAGAGTAATGAGTTCACACCTAACTAATGGAGACTTAATAGAGTTACTAATAGGCTGCCTTTTCCCCCCACGGTTTATGACCCCGCGGCCGGGGCTGTCAGGGGAGGGAGAGGTGAGAGGCTGTGTCAGCCCCAGCTCGGCCTCCGGCCCCCAGCCTGCGCCTGGCCCGGCAGCATTTCCAGGGACATCGTCTCTCCACCTTTCTGCAAGGAAAAATAAACAGTTTGGGGCTCCTGTGTCTTTATTAAACATTTCCTTTAAGCTGCATACTTTGGCTCCCTGCCCAAATGCACGAAGAAAGCGTCCACAGAGCAGCTCTGCCGCGGGCGGCTGGGGTGAGCAACCCCCGGAGGGGCGAGCACCTGCACCGCTGGCTCTGGCCACCGTGTGCCCGGGGCCACGGGCCACCCGAGCCTGCCAGAGAGCCCGATGTGACCAGCCGGGCTTGGGCACCGCCAGCGCCCAAGAGCAGCCCTGGGGAGGAGGGTGCAGGCAGTGAGGAGCGGGCAGCACGGTGGCCCCCGAGCATCGGGCTGCGACGCGGGAGCCAGGTGGGTGGGCAGGCAGCGCCGTGGCACCGTGTGTGCCAGGGCCGTGGGTGAGGGGGCCGAGCTGCGGATGGCAGGGGCAGGAGCTGCCGGGCGAGGAGGGCAGAACAGCCGCGGGGCTGAGCCTGGGCACCGTAGGCGTGTGCTGCACCCAGCCTGGGCACAGGGTGAAAACGGGCAGAGTCGTCACGGTGTGGGGCCACCATGGCAATGGTGGGGCCACCATTGCCATGGCAAGGCCACCACCCCCGTGACGGGGCCACCATCCGCTCGGCGGGCCCGGGCCGGGCGGACAGGTTCGGGAGCTGCCCCGGGAGCTGCGGCCCCGCGGCGGGCGAGGCTGGGCCGGCGGGAGGGAGCGAGGGAGGGAGGGGGCGCGGCGGTGATGTCAGCGCTGCCTCCGGCCGGGCGTTCCAGGTAAACAGCCGGGAACAGCCGGGGAAGGCGGCGGGGCGGGCCGGGCCGGACGAGCCGCCCGTAACCCCTTCGCGCCCGCGGCCGCCGCGCCGGTGCCCCTCGTCCTGCGGTGGCGCAGGGCCGGGGCTCGTCCGTGGCACCGGGGGGCTCCCGGCGTGGGCAGTGCCCAGGGGAGCCCCGGGGAGCAGAGGGTGCTCCCCGGTCAAGGGAGCCCACCACTCCCCAGGCTGGGACAAGACCAGAGCCGGGTGCTGGTGGCCCGCACAGGATCTCATGCAGCATCCCTAGCAGCTGAGCCCCACAGCTCAGGTACACGGAGCTCAGCAGAGGCCAAGAATATCCATAGTTTGTTGTTCTCTCATTCACCAGAAGTGCGCCTTCTCTGTGACGCCGTTGGAGCAGCCCAGCAGTTAAATTAGTAACTCCTATAAAACCTACCAGTGGTGCTTGGAGATGAGGTTTCTAAATCCCCAATCATCCCAAACAACGTGTGGATAGAGCCACCCTGGAGCTTGGCCCTTCGGTCCCCTCCCTCAGCATCCATCTCGACAGAAGGCATGTGCATCTCTGTGCAAGCTCTGCCCAGGAACGGGACTGCATCTGGATCTTTCCCAGGCAGGACAGGGTAGTTTTTTCAGACATTGCCCTGTATAATACTATGCATCATCTCTATGTCTGTCCTGTCTGGAGCAGCAAAGAGGAACTGCAGGGAGCTGAGGAAAACCCCCTGAGAGCCATTGCTGATGGCCAGGTGCCTGCTTCTCCCTGCTCAGCACTCCACTTTCCCCCCAGAAAACAAAGCTGCCGTCATATGAGTGCCCATAAAACGCGAGGCATCCTGAGTGCAGAGATTAGTGGTAATTTTACAAGGACTCAAATAACGTCGGTCTGCAGGGTGCAGCACTGCCTTGAAAGGGAACAGCAGACATTTCCCCTGGAAGCAAGTTTCCTCTTTAGAGCAGTTTACGGCCGAGGTGCAGTGTCAGATTGTGGCACAAATACACTGTCAGCCTTTGGGTTGGAAGATGGACATTTGATACCTCTTTCTGCTGCTGAAACGCGCTGCCCAGACCCGACTCCCAGCTCGGTTATTTTTTGAAGCATTATGTAATTGGATTGCATGGTCAGTAGTGCTTCCTTAACAAGCCTTTCAGCAAACCCTCTGCCTGCCGCAGCCAATCCTCAACCCTTACATGCACACTTACTCACGCAGGCTCAGTCTGGAGTAAACTCGCTGCTAAATACAGTTAGAAAACAGACAAAACCAAGCTGGGAATAGATCATCCACTCCCTGCGCTATGTGAGCCGTGGTGTAGCCAAGCTCTTGGTGCTGCCGGCGTCTCCTGGCCAAGGGGTCACCTCTGCCATGCCTCTCCCTACTGGGGTAAAAACCTGCTTTTTGGAGCATGGATGAGCAACTGAACCCAGGGCTGGTAGTGGTGTCCCTGTCTGCTCTTGCCCTGCTGTGACAGCCCTGAGCTTTGGGGACCAGCTTTGGGAAACCTCTCTGATGGCACTCAGGCCCAGAGCGACACCTGGGCCTTTATACCAGGTTTTGGTGTAAGCTGAAGGGCTGAATTAGGAACTGAGGCTCCAGACACATCCCCGGGCCAGGCCGGGCACCATTCCCACAGCAGGGCTTGGCCGGCTCAGCCCTTCTTGGTGTTTTCCAGGATCGTCCCTCTCCTCTGGCCGCTGTCAGCCCGCAGGTTATGGCTCTGCTGACTCACAGCTTCCTGTTTGTGATTGCTGACTGGTGGCAGCAGTTGCAGAAGCAATAAGACATATTAAAAAGTGTGAACTTCCACTGGGACCAGGAGATACAATTAGGGCTGTGCCAAGAAATACACTGCAGCAAGCTGCTGTTGAAAGGGATGCGGAGCGCTGCAGCCCCCCAAGTCCCTTGCTGCAGGAAGTAGGAAAATGAACATCACTGGCCTTTTATCATCTCTGAACCCAAATAAAAATTGCGTTTGACTTCTGAAGCTCACTCTGGCTCTTTTCCATGCTCCTCCTCAAAGCCTTTGATCCAGCCTTCCTGTCTGGGTCTCCTCTATCTGCTGCTGCTGAGATGTAGGGATCCATGTTCTGTGCTTTCACCTAAGACTGATTTCCACGAAAAGCCTGCATGAGCCTGTGTAAAGGGGCTGCTTTAGAAGGCGTGCACAATGTAATGTTATTTCCATTCTTTTTTAATGGGAAATATCTCTGGGGAGAAGCATGAAAGTATATGGAGAAGGTGCTCTTTGATCATTAAGATCTAAATGCAGCATCCAAACTGCATGTCTGTTTCTTCATATTATGCTGAAATTCATCATAAAGTGCTGCTCCTGGGTGGGCATTTCCTGTTTCTCCTTCCCTGACTTGAGCATTTGGAAACATTGCCACCAGTTTCATCTCCAGCCCTGGTGAGGATTGCCTCCAAAATTATCTCTCCACCCTGTTGTTACTGTATATATATATATATCGGGCTTTCAATTTGTTTTTCAGTTCTATTTTTAGCCATATTGTCAAAATGTACATTCTGGTTATTCAGCTGAGGACAGGAGGTGGAGGACGGCATTCTATGGACTGTGTGTCACTGGAGGACAGAACATGTGCTGAAGCTGGTCTTTGATGAATTGAAGCTAAAGTAGTATGCAGCTAAGAAAAAAACCCTTCACTTTCATACTGGCATTGGACTGCTTTTTTTTTTTAACCCTGTGACAGACACAGGGCTGAGAACTGGCACAAGGAACACAAATTAAGGGAGGAAAAAACCCACCCCAGAACCTTAGTTATTTCAACAAATACCAAAAGTGGATTGAGAGTGGATGAAGAGGAGGAGGAGGCAATAGTGAACACACAACACAGTTCAAGCTGGCAAGGAGCCCTTTCTTGAAGAATGTAAGTTTAACCTTTAGCATTCAAGTGTCTGGGCTTAAGTGTCATTATGAGCAATACTTTCCTCCAGCACAGCCTCTCCTGCCTGGAGGAGGGTTCTGTGCAACCTCATCCATTTTCCCCTTTCCCGAGTATAAAAATATGTATTTCTGGCTGCATACGCTCAGCCAAGTCCCTTCTGGTGGCAAAGCCTCTGTGCTCAGTGCAGGTGGCCCTGGACAGGTCCAGGTGAGGGTCTGCGCTGGTCAAGGGGACTGTGGAGGCTCTGCCGTGGCTCTGGCCTGATGGAATCGTGTGCTTTGGGGTTCACTGGCTGAATTTAGGTTATAGATTTTGTGCCCCGGACTCACAAGTGGTGCTGGCTGGGGCGGAGGGTCCCTGCCAGGGTGCTGCCTACAGCCAGCCTGTGCCCAGGCCTCAGGCTGCCCAGCTCGGGCACAGCTGCACCAGGTACCTTCCGCTTGTCGTGGCCGCAGGAGGAAAGGGGATCTACTGGCAAACTGCTTTTGGGAGAACCGAACTGAAATGAGGAGGGGGGAGGGATGGGCCTGATGGTGTCCTCGTCGTCATCATTGCCCCCCCAGCGCTAACCTCACCTTTTGATGGAAGCACATAGAAAAAAATTAGCAGCAGACAAACATCAGACCTGGCTGTGGACAGGCTGGATGTGCCCCTACCCCCCCAAATCATCTCCAGCTGTAAAACACTTCAGGGCTGATAGAAACCACACGCAGCCCAGCCATAACCCAATCTGCAAAGCTGCATTCCAATAAAAAATGCAGCACGGACCTAAAAGAAACAGCACCCAGGATTCCTGCTGGGCTGGGGGCTGGGGTGGGGGCGACCCCTCAGCCCCAGCTGGGTGCTGCTGTGGGCAGGGGGACAGTGGAGCCTCCCTAGCTCCTGCCACAGCCCCCAGCACAGCCCTCGCAGGGCACAAATCGAAGTGGCTGCGGCGCTGGCCGGCAGGGCCGGGAGCAGCCGTGGGGTGCGTCGCGCTGCAATCACAGCCGGGCCCCCAGTTTCAATAAGCACAGCTCGCGTCGCCACAAATGTCAGATGTGCTTATGTTAAATACAGGTAATATCGTGGCGTGTGGCTGAGAGCGTGATTCCTGCAGATATCTTGTCTGATGAATTTTGCATCTCATGTTTGTGATTTTTCTGTGCGAAGAAGTACAGATTTAGAGGAATAAGAGCAGATATTTACAAAGAGATAACGATGAACTGTTTGATTAACTGCAGCAAAGATGCCATGTCTGATCTGATTGCTCACTGGTTACAACTCAGGGTTGGAGAATGTAGTTAATATATAGTAAGTACAGCTGGTGCTGGTGCTTAACTTAGTGAATAATTTGATGCAGGCTTTCCTGCAAATCTCCAGCTTAATTCTGAAATAATTTGGAGGGGAAGAAGGTGGATGGACTATTTTCCAAGGAGCGCTTGGTACCTGGTTTGTGCTGAGATGAGAGGTTTGCTGTGCTGTCACTGCTCCTGGCCCACAGTGGGGGGTTAGCACAGGATGTGCCAGCCCTGGACTGGGGTCCCTGCAGCATCGGCTCTGCTGACAGACCCAGACTGGCCCCCAAACAAGCCAGGTTGTCTTAGTCTCCCTCCTGACACACTTTGAGTGCTGTGGAATCAGAATGTAATCCAGAATTCCTCTCAGTGCTGAAAACATTTTTTTTTCTTTCTAATTCTGTGGGAACTGTAATTTTATTTTGTAACTTATTTCCCCTCTTTTTTTCCCTTTAAGATGGTTCCCAAACATTTATTGTGGGATTTTTCATTTAAAATAGTTTTCTAGGGAAATTACTGTGACAGTGATTTAATTGTTTAATTAAAATCTGACATTGATGACAACATAAATACAATAGGCATGAGGTGATACAGGCATTAAACAAGTGCAATTGTGGAATACATCCATGGAGTACTCCGAGCACAGGGAGCAGCTCACAAAGAAATGATGTTCAATATTTATCAGGTTAGTGACTCCTAATTAAATGCCAAGACTTTTTTCTTCATTTCTCTCAAAAAGCCAAGAAACATATAGATGTATTCCAAGTGTTTATTTCCATGGCAAACACATCCACTCCTCTTGTGTTATGGCCTGCAAAACAAGCAAATGCACATTATAAGCCTGCTGGCTGACTAAGGAGTGTTTACTCAGCCTGGCTGCAGCAGCCTCGCCAGAGGTTTGGGGACAGCTGGAATAGCCCACAGAGGTCCCGTCAATCCCACTGCCTAGAGCATGATGTCTTTTAATAATCGGGTAAACCCCCAGAAATAAATTGAAGACAAAAGAACAAAATTCCTTTGAACATCCCCTCCAGCCCAAACCTCCCCAAATCCTACAGCATTTCTTCTAGAGAAATGCACTCCCCCCTCCAGCATCCCCACTTGTCTCAGCAATAAGGGTGGCAGCCCCACCATTTAACCAAGGAGAACATGCCTCCAGAAGAAATTCCTGCTGTCTGGCCAGAATCGCTCAGCAATGTGGCTCTTCAGCCCTGCTGCATTTCTGCATCCCAACAATGACCACGCTGCTGTTGGAATATCCCTTTCCATGCCTCTTGCTGGGCGTCTCTAAATGGTATCAGCTCACTCCTGCAGCTCAGCCAGCCCCGTGCAATCCGTCACTGCCGATCGCCTGCCCTTTCCCCTTTTCCAAACCTGGAATAAACGCATCTGCTCCAGCTCGATTCCCCTCAGCCTTTCCCCCTTCTCCCGCTCAACTCCACACAAACAAACTTTCCAAAGGAAAAGATAGCTTACCTGGCCAGTGCTTTGGGCATAAAGTCATACAAACTGATCAAGGCAGACATCCCAACTCCAGCACAGGGATTTGATTGCAAATTTCCATTGCAAAGGAGCAGAGGGAACTGGAAATCTGACAAATGCCTTCAAATTGACCTGTGTTTCCACAATGCACGCTGTGTTTAAAATGAATGGCAGACTTTATCATTTGGAGCTCCTTCAAGGACTCTGGCCTTCCATGCTTTGTTCTGATTCTTCAGACACATTTCCAAGAAGCACAGAGCTGTGGAAGTGGATGATATTATGGAGATTTTTTTTCTAAGCTAGATCTCCCCTCTCCCACCAATAATTTTTAAAGCTTGAATTTAAAAAGATAGTAAAAAAAAAAAATATTCCAGGCTATGCCCATACATCAGCCCCTTGTGCACCATCGGCCTCTGGCATCGCAGAGCCTTGGCCCGGTCCCCCCATGTCAGGCGGCGAGCAACGGAATATGCTTGTGGCTCCCTAAAAATTCACCCAAGTGCTGTCACCACAGCCCCACGCAAATCTGACCCATCCCAGCCTCAGGGAGCTGCTCCCGAGCCCCTGGCAGCCAGGTCGTGTCTCCAGGGGAGAACCCAGGAAACTGGAGCTGCCCACCCCTGTTTTACATGTGAGAGATAACAACCATCTTTGCCGAGAGTCCTGTCCAGAAAGCCATACGCGCTGCCTCGGAGGAACATTTTGCTTCAAAGTTGTTCCTCTTAATTTGTGTACATTTTTACAAACAATAACTTTAAAGCGCCGCTATTCGTTCCATCTGTTCAAAATAACAGAAATGAAACTATACGATTCTATGCACAAATACATCAGATGTACCGTGAGACAAAAAAACGGGTTGATCTAATAATTCAACTGTGTCTTTAACAAGTTTCCTATGGGAAAAATCAGTCTTACTTTCCCTGCAGATCTAATACTGAGAGCTTCTTTCTGCTAAGCACATTAAAAGCTATTTGAACCCAAAATCCCATCTATGCGTGTGCAGAGATACACGTATAGAAACGAGAGGCACCCGCACAATTGCAGATGAGGCTGTATCAAGATTTCTAATTAAAGCAAGGGAAGCCCCTTCTTATATTTTAGCAACCAGATTGTCTTTTTGCCTAGAACAAAGAAATCTTATGGAAAGCAAATTTTCTAGAGGAGACACGCATGCACATACATGTAATCATACCTAACAATTTCTGTACGAATTATCCCTTAATTCCTTGGCTGCATTTCGGTGTTTGCGTGGTGGTTTATCCGCTGGTCCTGCGGCCGTCACTTGCTCCTTCCCTTCTTTTCACACACAGCCTCCCCTCACCACCTCTTTTTGCACCTTGGAAAACTGGGAACTCTCCTATTCCCCAGCCCCCGGACGGCTGCATCCAGGAAGAGGGGCGAATCTCTGCCATCCGCTCATCTGGCTGTTTCCCTTCCCAGTTTCAGCTCTTGCCTTGCCAGGAGTGGAGGGAAGATGTCCTAGGACTTGACCCCAGGGCAGAGCCTGCTCAGGCTGGACCAGCTCCCAGGAGGGTGGGGGGCCGCAGGGCGCGCGCCCCTCTCCCCGCTTAACCCCTCCGCTCCCCTGAGCTGGCGCCTGCTGCCCTCCTCCCTCCCGGGGCAGTCGGGCTCACCCCGGGAGCGTGACGGGGAATGCCGGAGCAGCGAGGGGCTGTCGCAGGAGGGCTCCGCGCGGCGCGGCCAGAGGAGCAGCGGGATCGCCGAGCAGGGGGATGTTTGGTTTGTGTTAACTACCCAGACAGATGCACTCCGGCATGTTTGCCTTTATGGGATCCATATGTTGTCATGGGAAATTAGAGGACAGCAGCACACAGCCAGAATTCACGATGCAAGCACAGAGACAACATCCATGGCTCCAGCCCGCGCCCGCACACGTCCCTGCGGAGGTGCCTATTTCTGGAGCATCCACAGTTGCTCCTTTGCTCCCCAACTTCCCCACACGTTTCCTTTTGCTTTGCTCTGCAAAAAATTTGGCCGCAGGCAGCACCCACTCGCAGCCCGGGCCACTGGATCCACGCTGTTTTCTGGAGAAAAGAGGCACTTCTAAGTTATCCCAAGTGCTAAAGACAAGGGTTACTTTATTCTCGCCTCAACTTCATCCTCAACCCACGTTTGGTTCATGTTCAGCAAACAGTTACAAATTACACGCACCTTCCCAGACAGCGCACTGTGAGCAGCCCTGAAAAATTCCGCTTCCCCCAGGGCTCCGTGGTTTGGGGGTTGGTTGGTTTTTGGTTTTCTTTTTTTTTTTTCTTTTCTTTTTTTTTTTTTTTTTTTGCTTGGTATTGTTTTTGTTAGGGTTTGGGTTTAGGGTTTTTTTTGTTTGTTTTTTTTTGGTTTTTTTAAGGGCAAGTACATTAACAATTATTCTTCCATAAAGCCAGACATATATTGAGCAGGGACTGACAGATTTTTAAGGGTAGCTTTTAAAGGCAAACTGGTCTCCTATTGGAGTCAATCCAACCACCAGGACTCACACACAGCACACCGGGATCACCGGGCACACCAGGGCTGCAGGTACAACATCCACAGAACTGTGTCACCTATCAAACCCTAAGTCTTAAAAACCTGTGACTGTCTCTCAAAAGCAAGACACTTTCCTCAATGCATCAACAGTACAGCCAAATTCCTAATCACCCATCCTCTTTCTTCACCCCCATGCCACTTAAAGGGATTCCAAATGACAACCCCCACATTAAGAAATAGGGATAGCTCAAGACATTTCATTAAAATACTTACTAACAAACATGCAGTTTATTACCTTGCAGTATAAAATACATCTACATTAAGGTTCTCCAAAATGGAAAAACTGACCGCAACTGCATTCCTTGTTCAGAGCTATGAAACAAACTGGGAAGTTAATTATTTGTGTTATGAAAATAAAGAAAAAAAAATTAAAAAAAAAAAGAAAAAGAAAAAAAAAAGAAAAAGCTTCTTTAGATTTTCAAGACAGATGATTTAATTCAGCTGCGTTTCTGCTAGTAATAAAATAGCCTCTTACAGAAGGAGAAAAAAAAAACATATTCCTGAAGCCTGGATAGAGGCTTGTTACTGGTTCACCTCCTCCTAAAATTCAAATCCCACGTTCCCAGCAATCATCTACATTTTTCGCTAGGGCTGGAATGGGGAGGGAAAAGCTGCTGGAAATAAAAATTTTAAATAATAATCGCAGATGGACCCGAACAGAAAGTGAAAAGCATTACCGTAAGGCTAGAGAAATATTTATTTAATCAAAGCAGAGGTTCTGGTGGGACTGGAGGAATGTTGCATCCTTTCCTTAAAAAAAAAAAAAAAAAAAAAGGGGGAGAAAAAAAGGGAAAAAAAAAGAAAAAAGGGGAAAAAAGAGGAGGGGGTGGGGGGAGAAAAGAGAAAGCAAGAAAGAAAAAAGGCAGAGGCACAGCCGCCTCCTGGAGTTCCCCATTGTCCGGGGCTATAGAGAGCCCCAGAATGGCATTAAACTCACAAAAGGCACATTGTGCGGGGGACAAAAAAAGCCCCTTCTTCTACAATAACTTTTAGCTTCTTATTTTTAGAAAATGACAAAGCTGTTGCCAGCGATGGCTGGTGAAACCTGTAGCCCGGCTCCCAGCGCGGCTGGCCGCGGCCGCATTGATCCGCCGGCCCGCTCGGAGCGGCGGCCGCCAAGTTTGAACGGGGCCGGGCCGCGCCGCGGGGATGCTGCGGGCGGCGGCTGCGGGGCCGGCGCGCAAAGTTGCGCTCAGTGCCGGCCGCAACTTTCCCGGTTGCTCCCCGGGGAAACTTCGGCGGCGGCGGGGGTCGTCCCGTCCCAGCCCGGGCCGGCCCTGGTCGGGGCGGCGCGGGCCCCACCCGGGGTACGGGGGCAGGTGGCCCCGCGGAGGTCCCGCCGCTGCGGAGCGGTGCGGAGCCGCCGGCCGGCCCCGCGCCCCCTGCCCTGCCCGGCACGGCGCTGCGCGGGCAGGGCGCGGAGCGGGGCCGGGCCGGGCCCCCCCGCCGCGGGCTGGGGGCCGGCCGCTTGCCCCAAGTTTCGGTGCGGCGCCGCCGCCGCCGCCGCGCTCCCCCCGCCCGCTCCTGCGCGCTCGCTCCCTCCCCCGCCGCCTGGGCTGAATCTTATTGATCCAGAAGGTGGCTAATTAGCCCTTCCCGTCGTGCCTGGGTAATGAGGCACATGCGCACTGCACTAATCAGCCATTTTTTGCAGGAAACTAATTAGCAGAATAAAGATCCAAAGAGTTTTTTTTCTTCCCAATCATCAGATCTGAGTCCGGGCGCTTCCTGCTCCGGCGACCGCCAGCCCCGCCGCCCGCTCCGCTCCGCGCCCGCCGCCCGCTCCGCTCCGCGCCCGCCGCTCCGCCCCGACCCGCCGCCGCCGCCGCCGCTGCTGCTGCCGCCGCCCGCGGCCCCCTCTCTCCGGGGGGCTGCAAACTCCCCGACAACGATGCTGCTGCTGGGCAGCGGCGGCGGCGGCGGCGGCTCTCGCTCGGCTCCGGCTGCTGCCCCCGGCTCCCGCTGCTGCTGCCCCGGGCCCCTCCGCGGAGCTCCGCGCTCCTGCCGCCGCAGCCGCCGCAGCCTGCATGGGATCTGTAGCCCCCGCGCCGCCGCCCGGGATTAAAAGCGCCGCCGCCGCCGGAGCAGCGACCGCGTAAGTGGCAACTTTTCTGCCCTGTCCCCCGCTCGGGCTCCTCCTGCTCGGGGCGCCCGGGCTGCTTTGCATGGGGCTGGTCCGGCCCCCTCCCGCCCGCTCCCACCCACCGCCCCGGATCCCCCAGCAAACTTTGTGCCGCTCGCCGTCCCGGAGCCCTGCCGCCGCCGCCGGGGACGCGCAGGTGCCGGCGCCGCGGGGGCCGCTGAGCGCCCGCGGACCCCCGCCCCGCCCGCCGGCCATGGCCGCGGGGCGCGCAGCGGGCGCGGAGAGGAGCGGGCGCGGCGCCCGCCCGGCCGCTTTGTGCGCGGCGGGGCCGGCGGCGGGGGCGGCGGGGGCCCGGCCCCGGCCCCGCGCGGAGCCCGCGCCCCCGGGACCCCGCCGGGCCGCGGTCGCTCGGGCGGCCCTCGGTCCCCGCTGCCGCTCCGCGCCGGGGACGCGCTGGAAAACAAAGGGGCGAAGAAAGTGCCGAAAACTGCCCCGGCGGCGGCGGGCCCGGCCCCGCAGAGCCCCGCACCCCGCGGCCCGCACGGCCTGGCCACGCACAGTAACGGCGGTTCTTGTTCCCCGCGGGCAGCTCGGCGCGGGAGCGCGGCGGGGGCGGGCGGCACCGCAGGCCGAGCCCGCTCGGGGCCGGGGTTAATGACTCGGGGCTGCATCGCCCGGCGCTTATCGCAGTTACGTGAAACGCGGGTCCCTGTCGGTCCCCGCCGGTCACTGGGACCCGCCGCGCCCGGGCTCCCGCTCCCACACGCACCCTCCGCGGGGAGCGTGTGTGTGTGCCCTGGCTGTGCACGGCGTGCGGGGGTACCACGCACACGGGGGATTCGTACTGTGAATTATTTATAATTTGGGTTGTGTTTGTTTGTGTCTTTGGTTGTTTGGGTTTTTTTTTTTTAATTGTTAAACTCTCCCCACCTTTTTTAAAAAAACATCCAAACAGAAAAAAAAAAATTGATTCCGAGCAAGGTCTGTTTCTCCCTCTCGCTGTGCTCAGGGCTGCTCTCGGTGTGTCCTGGACCTTGTAACGCAGAGTTCCCTCCGTGCCTGCTGTCTTTCTCTTTTTCTCGCTCCTATTTAATATGGAGTAATTTTCTGGTGGCTCGGTGACTCCCTCCTTAGGGTCACATTGAGTTCGAATCCGACTGAAGGTGCAGGAATCCTGCAACGGGGGAAATAAGAGAATAGAGAGAATGGGGTCAAGTTGGCTGCTTAGAGGCCAAAGCTCCTATAGCTGCCTTTAAAAATATATGTATATTTGGCTTTCCTTACCGTATTACGGATTGCAGCTTCCTCTTTCAGGTATTTTCCTTACAGCCTAAAGCCCTTGCTTCCTTTTGCCTCCCCCCCCTCCACACCCCCGTTAGGGGAGAAGTGGGGGGAGGAGAGAAAATAAAAGGAAAAGAAATGGGGGGGGGGGGGCAGGGGAAAAAATAAAACCCATTGAGTTTAGGCAAATAAGGTTTGGTCTCCGTATCCTATTACAAAGCACTTTGAATATGCAAGACATCACACAAGACCAGTTATTCCAGTTACGACAAACTTAAAAAGAGAAAAAAGCGAGGCATGTTTAGATTGTAATTTGTTAGAGCAAGATTCGTATTTAAAATTCTGTCTTTTAAATTTTTTTTTCAGCCTTGCGTTCTATCCAGCTTTTTTCTGATGTCTGGCTTGTTGGGTTTTTTTGCATTATTATTATTATTATTAAAATCTTTCCATCGAGTTTAGGAAGACCGCTGCGAGCAACACATTTTCTGTATTTTTGTTCCTGTATCTCGGAGGAGAGTTGGCAGGGATTCTGTGGTTTGCAGTTACACAATATGTTATCATGTTTTTAATCACTAAATCATTGCAGTGGTTATAGATTTACAGTCTTAGGGTATTACCGAGCGGCGCAGCGCAGCCCGTGTGTGCGGGGACATACGAGAGCATGCCGTTAACATGCTCGTGAACTTTGCTTTTAAATCATTTCCCGGCCGAGCCGCGGCGGAGCACGGAGCCAGCGTTTTGGCATCACCCCTCCACGCACTTGAGGAAAGTTTGTGCAACCCTCCCGGCAGGGCAGGAGCTCCGATGGGCGTCGTGCGCGCCCCGTCCCGCGGCGCTGGCGGTAAGCAGCGGGTCAGGGGGCGCGAGGGGCGGCCGGTGGGCCGGGGCCGCCACCTGCGTGGCCGGGGGGAGCGGGCAGCCCCGCCGGCTGCCCTCTGCTCCCGTTTCCCCCTTTATTATGTAACAGAGCCCTCGGCAGCATTAAAAATTCAGCATTACAAGCTGATTGTAATGCTCCCTCATTAGGGAGCACTGTCTGGTCCGGCGCTGAGCGAAGACAGAGTGTGGCTTTTCGGCTGCTGCAGCGGTGGAGGCCGGGGAGCAGCCGGGAGGGGGGCGGCTGCCGAGCGGGGTGTCCCAGGCCCCTGGCAGCAGGATCATGCTGGGCTCCCCGCCGCTGTGCAGCAGCGGCCCTGCGGCCAGGCCCAGGGCTCTCCGGGCTCCTGCTCTGCCGGCTGCTGAAGGCTTTTTCCCTGCACGGCTGCCCGAGCTGCCTCCCGCCCGGTCCCCCTCCGCAGGCAGCCTTGACTGGAACAAAAGCAAAGAAAAGGCACATTAGAGGGGAGAGAAGCTCCGTGTCTGGCCAGAGAAGTTGCTTTGCTGTATTTGTATTTTTTCCCCCCACTCTTTTCTTTTTAACGCGGTTATTTTGGGAGCAGAGGGCAGCAGGAAGTTGGCTTCAGCTCCTCTCCCGCACGGCAGTGCCGGCTGCAGCAGTGCTGGCCCTCAACTGCAGAGCCCCTGGACCCTTCCTCCCGCCCTGATGCTGCCTTTTGTTCCCACAGGACCGAGCCAAGGTTCTGCTTGGTGGGCCGAGGCAGCGCGGGCGGCTCTGCGTGCCCAGCACCGTCGCCTGGCCTTGTCGTGGCCACTGTCACACCAGAGCCCGGTGCTGGCCGCTCTGACAAAAGCGAAGGCTTGTGTCCCTCTTTTATGTCTCTGCTTTGACCCCCCCTGCCCCAGTTGCTGTCAGTGTCATGCTGGAGGCTGGGAGCAGCCTGGGGCAGCACATTTCCTTTGGGCCTGGCCAGCAATTGAACAGCTTCAGTAGGGATCGCTGAATCCTAAAGTGATGGACACATGGCTGGCTGTATCAGCGTCCCTGTTAACACCTCCTTCTGCTTTCCAAAATAACAGTAATAGCAATAATAATCAAAAAAAAAGATGTTGCACGGAGAAGTAGAAATATGATTAGTGGGCTTTTAAATCGACTTTATTCACACGCTATGTTCTGTTCTGTGGGGGCTTGATCTCTTGTTTCCATGCTGGTGTCAGTTGCTCGTATGTGGTGGGAGAGTTTTCGGCAACCATCTTCTGTGGGTGCTGCCGGCGGTGCGTGCTGGCCTTGCCGCGGTGCCAGGGCTGGAGGTGTGTTTGCACTGCAGAGAAGGTCGGTTTGGGACGGATGGGCTGGAGAGAGGCCGAGCGTTTCATGGCTCTTGTGTCCCTTCACCAGAGCACAGCCAAGGTTTGCCCTTTGTGCGGCTCCAGGGGCCGCGTGGCAGTGGGCACGGCCGGCCAGCGGGAGAGGTGTGCTGTGAACAAAGCTGGGTCCTGCCAGGTCCCCCTGACCTGGCCACATGCCGGATCCCTGTGCCGCTCACGGGATCTTGCAACCAACGAC